AAAAAAAAAAAAAAAGAACGAGTGGGGGTGGAGAGAGAAAGGAAGAATGATAGTTCAATGATTTTAGTAGGTTCCCATTGCTTTTACTGTAATTTTAAAAGGTTTTAAAAGGACCCCACTTTTTTTTTGTCTTGCATTTCCACATTTATAAAGTCAAGTTGAACCTCTTGAGGATTGTGTTCTACATGATGGTGACTATTTTAAGCAATTTTAATATGAAGAAAAAACAGAGCATCAGCCTGGTTATATTCTCCCACATAGATGCCTAGGGTGAGCACATTTTCCCCTGGGTTTCCGTGGAATATGGAAGCATATTCCTTCCATACCAGCATCTTGGGCTGTTAAAGTCCACAGGAAAACTGCTCTCTGGAGAAGCAAGGACTGTGAGAACTCTAGGAGTGAAGTCAAAAAGGTGGCTGCATAGCAGTAGAGTCAGAAAGGAAGAGAAGGAGGGAATTAAAGAGACTCAGGAGAAGCCACACTGTAAAGAAAAGAAGAAAACATTAACAAGGAGCATATGGAGAAATGCAAACTAACTCTGATCATTTGGGAAATCAGTTTGGGGCAAGCTTCACACACTGCTTGTTTAGGAGGCAAAACTGTACCTATGGCCAATCTATTATACAATCTAATAAACAGAGATTCTTATTCTGCATCATAAAGAACCCAGAAGCAAAGGTAACTCTCTAAATTAGACCAAATGCAGCTTAGTCTGAAGCCTACCTGTTCCCTGGGTAGGTATCTGATTTGTACTTGGAAGTATAATCTTTCATTTGCTGTTCTCTCTAATCCTAGAGATCATCTGTGCATTGTTTGTTTGTTTGCTCTTAAAGAACATTTTCAAAAGGACTTAATGGATTTAGTCTTGCATTTTGAATTTTAAAATATTAGAAGTTGCAAATCAAATGAGGAAAGAATGGGACAAAATATTAATAAGTCATTTTTATTTCCTATTAACTACAAAATCTATCTAAGCAAAACCATACATTACCACCCTGGAATGTTCTTCCCCCGCTCTCTTTACATAAGTAGATCCTTATCACACATTAAGATGGCTTGAGTTTCCCTCTCTAAAAATTCTGTGTTTTCCTCATAACTATAATCATTTGTTAATTGTCTATCTAAATGATACCTCAATAAGAATAAGAACTACATTTATCGCAGACTTGAATACATGGACATATGTTGATGCCATATCTCATAAATATTTGTTTAATAAATTAATACATTTCACCAGAAAAATGTATTTGGTGACTCTTTTGGATAGACCATATTTCTGGTGGTAGAACCTTTGAACAAATGATATCAGAAATGTTACATTTTTATCTTTTAATATAAAACACATTCATAAACTGAAATGATTTTTTTCATGACCAATAGTCTCCAAATTTTTTAAGATTTTTGAGATGACAAAGACTAATATGCCACAGATATGCCCGAGGGTAGAACAGTGATGGAAGTTTTGGTTCATGTTCAGGGTTTCATGCAACGTGTCTGGCCCTTTCATTACTCTGTGCCATTGTGCATGTGTATCCCAGTTCCTGAAATGCCATGCTACCTTCTTTATTAGCTTGAAATACCTTTTTCATTCTCCAAAACTCACAGAATGGTGATGACCCATGCTCTATTTCAAATACACAGAGAGAAAATAGCACAGGCTTTTACAACTGCCATCCATAACCACGGTCTGTTACAATAAAGAAAATCATGCTGAAAATATTGACAGTCCAATTACTTTAAAATAGGGTGTCTTTGAATTTCTGATGCAAACGTTTAAAGCCTTGAAGATGTGAGGCAAAGTGAAGTTCAGATTACTACGCTTTGAAATTGGACAGTGGTTGGGGGTGGAGGATTAGAAATGGTTAGAAATGTCTCTTGTGCTGTGAGCTTAACTGAAAGCAATTTGTCATTTCAGAAGTGTAGAATATCAGGAAATTAAGAGTTTCTGCCTTAGAAAGTACATGAAGTTTTAGATCCTAAATGCTTTCTGTGTCGTTAGTGAGTAACAGTGCTGAGAAGGCTGCTGTAGAAACTAATACTTAAAACACAGTCCTGCATGAGATTCTTCCATTGAGTTTAATGCAATTCTACCTTTTACAAAAAAGAGATTTTAAAAAAAAACTGATTTTAACTATAAAATGAAACACATTCCTTGACAAATGCAAAAATTTATAAATTATAGTTTAGTAGAAAATATCAGAGGGACAGAAATATCATTATATTCATCAAATAGCCTTAAAAGCTTTGCTCATTGCCAAAAGAGCATAAAATAATAAAAATCATAAATGCAATTTACTATATTTCAGGGAACCATGTGATATATTGTCCACAATTTGTAATGTCTGTTATAGGCAACTGTAATATATTTTGGAAATAGAACAAGAGCCCAGAAATCTATTCTTCTGTCAACCACTAATTTACTAGGAGATAAACTTTCTTGAGCTCATTCTCAGCTCTAGAATGGAGATGATTTTTCTCCCCTCATCATGGGTTATTTTGAGAATTACAATTACCTGTAAATGCTTTGAAAATGTATGAAAGGATGATACATTTTTATGCCACCCTACACTGTCGCCTTCAAATGCCTAAAAAATATGACTACTTCTAACAATATTTCATCTGCGTTTTCCTTTTCTCTAAAAAGCATATATAACAAATGATAAAATAAAGCTGCTGAATATATTTTAATGAATTTTTCAAGAATGCAAATGCATATGGCATTAGTACATAACCAATCAGTTTCCAGTACTCATTACATTTTAGCCCTCTCACTTTACCATTATGACCACAGACTCAAAGGACAGCAGGCATCAGTTAAACAAACTATGGTTAACTTTCCCCTCCAAAGATTGTTACTATGCTCTATTAAGAGCAAACTAAACCCTTCTCTGAGCAGGCTACAGAGGAGGTTGAGCAGAGTCCATTTTCCAAAATGGTGATGCCTGATCATGTTGCATTATTCTATATCAGAGCCCAGTCTCTATGTCAAAGTCTCACATCAGGATTCTGTGACCCTCATCTCCTTTTCCCAATTCCTGCTCTACATGAAGTCATTCAAGGCCCCCCAAAGATCCTTGTTCCACTCTGACAGAAGGTGTTATTTTGCTATCCTCCTCATTCCTTTTTTAAGCAATAGCAAAGCCATTCCCTTGGTTGTGCATATCAGGGAAAATTCTCTTCACTTTCAGACTTCCCCTTCTGTAATCAATACTTGTTCAAATGATATTTGTTTCTTGCTGTTCTATAAATTCCTTGATGGCACATGCATGGAATTTTTTGTTGTTGTTATTTCTAAGGTATGCCATCCACAATTTTCAGTATTACAGTATTGATTAACACTTTCTTAACAAATAACATCTGAACTTCTATCTCTTCCACAGAGTTCTTCTCTGACTACTTAAACGGAGCTAGTGAACTATGTGTTGACCTCATCTAGACATGGATTGTTTTATTGCTTTCTGACTTCATGTCATAGTAATTGCTTCCACCCTGAACCAGCTCCCTCAAGTCCATTTTCCATATAACAGTCAGACTGATCTTATTAGAGCATAGATTAGAACAAGTCCTTTCCCTGATTAAATCCCTCCAATAGTTTGCATGAGCACTTAGAATGAAATTCAAACTCCCTTTCTTGGCCTTGGTGATGTGGTCCTGACATGTCTCCCACCTCACCTACTGCCTCTCTCCCTCTTACTCACTGTACCTCAGCCCTAATAGTCTTCTTTATGGTCCTGTAATACACAGCCAATTTTCAAATGAGTCCATTGAACTGACCATACTCCCACACTGAAACTCAGTACTGCTAAATCCTTATGGGTTAGCTTAACTTCTGATATTCCCTCTCAAAGACTTCTCTAAAGATGACCACCAATATAGCTGCCCAAGATACTCTTTGCTCCATCACCCATTTCGTGCTCATAAAACTCTATAATTTTTGTCACATTTCAAATTAAATATTATCTGTCTTCCCCTACTATGTCAATCCTGTGAGATTAAAAACATAGTCCATTTTATTTCCCACAGTATCCTCAGTACCTAAAATGGCCCCTGGAATATGGTAGGGCACTAAACATATAGTTACTGAATAAACAAATGAATAAAAATGATTTTGCTTCCCTGCTTCAGTCAGTTACATTTTTAGGCTTTTTTTTAAACAAATTTATTCCCAAAATATCTCCACTTATATTCTAAGGGTAATCACAACCTAACACATACAGGAATCATGTCTTAATTGTCTTTAAATCTATTCAGTCTAGTATTTATCAAGCACATAGTAGGTGTTCAATACTTATAGAATTCCATATGTATGAAATTAATGCATGTAATCATTTATTCTCATATGTGCTCAGAATATGGATGGATGGATGGATGGATGGATGGATGGATGAATGGATGGATAGTCCCACATGTAAACTGTAATTTACAAATATGTTCTACTAGTGAAGTTCATTTTTCAAATTGTCCTTTATGGTTAGGAAAAATTTCTGAGCTTTAGTTTTATAAAGATTCCCAGGATAATTATTAAGACTTTATTTCACCTATAAACTTCTGAATTATACAACAGTCTAAACCATTTATAAAATTCTTATCAACTTTGACCTCAGCATTACTTTGGTAAAGAATATAAATAATGCTGATTAATTTAAATAATCTACCCTTTCCTTCTTCTTTGGGCTTATTTAGAAGCATAATTAAAATTATTTCTTAAATAGCTACCTATCTCTCTTAAATTCATTTTGTAACTGCTACTCACACACACACACACACACACACACACACTTTCTCTCCATTGTTCTTAGGTTGGTTTATTTTTGTTGTAAGTTTGCAATGATGTTGCTAATGATGTAAGTAAGTTCTACTGTTCTCAGTATTTACTTTCCCCTCATTTCCAAGAAGTTAATTAAGATGACTGGGTTACTTTGACCCAACTCTCTTGTTATTTTTATATTACTAATTAGTTCTCTCTGGGGGTCAGAATTAAGACAAGGAGAACCTTAACAGTCAAGTACCTTGGTCCAAATTCTGTATTTACCATTTATAAAATATGTAAGTTTGAGCAATTACTCTTCATAATAGATTAAAATCCCTAGCATTCTGTAGAAATATACTTGCTTTGCTTTATGGATAATAACAACTTTGTAGATTACAAAATTAGCAATTCATAAAAACCGTGTCTATGAAATATCGAAGCTATAAAAATGTCAATAAAGAACATTGTTTTATAATCTTATTATAGACCATTAGAGAATCTTGGCAGCCCACCAGAAGCCCTGGACCCTACTTTGAGAAACACTTTCTGTTGATGAATAATAAAGCTAAGTGGCTAGGAGCACAGGCTCTGGAGTCAGATAAACTCGTATTAAATCCATATTCCAGCAAAAATTATCTGTGTGCATTTGGGCAAGCTGTTTAACCTTTCTAAACATATTTCCTCACTCATAAAATGGGAATCATTGAATCCACTTCCCAAATTTATTATAAGTAATAAATGACATTTGTGTTTAGTGCAATGACGGTTCTAGAGGATTAAATATTTCTTGCACACACGATTCAACAGAGTTTTCTACCTAGAAACTCTCCCTTTCCCTCACTACCTAGATGCCTCTTCCTCATTCTGTGGCAGCATTACCTCTTTTCAATTGTAAAATATCTAAGGGAAAAGACTGTCTCTGAAAATCTGCCTTAAACATCAATACAACTTGATATAAACTTTTGGATAAAGTTTTTGTGGCATAAGCTGTAAAAATACTTAATCTATATTTAATGTTACAGATTCTGGATCCAGCACCCTCAGAAGTCTACAAAATTCAACATGTTAGAAAGAACTTGCTTCTTAATTATAGTTTCCTGGGACTGAATAACACAGAAAACTGACAACTTGACCACACAACAAAGTGATTCTCTCTTAAAGTAGAGTCATCTTTTTCCAGTCTGTATGATACTCTCTTATCACGCCCACATGTGTTTTTTGTGAAAAGGGTCTATGAATCTTTAGCATTCAAATTCTGTTTTCCTAAATTTCAGACACAGTACTTTAAACATTGAAAGAAGCACACCTATAAATAACACGCTTTGCTTAACACTCCTAAGAGCAGTAACCTCTTGATAAGCCTAAGCATACAAATTGGAAGGATATTGCTAAAGCTGCAAAATAATAAGAGCAGACACTCTAATATTGGAAGTTTTAAGAGTTTTAAGAGTATGAATTATAAAGAAGATTAGCCTTGATTCAACTTTCCCAACTTAGAAATGAAAAGATTAAGCAAGATTGGACCGATTCAATGATAGGCCTTTCCAAGCCTTATAAGGCAGAAAACAGATTGAACCCAATGAGTTGGTTGAGCTACTGTAGAGAGAAAATAATTCAAAGGGAATCATTGATAAAGGACTAGACCCCAGGCAATCAAGACAATTTTCTCTACGGGATAAATCACTAGATTTTGACACCAAAGCAATAAAAAGATTTTCTTGGAAGAGTTTGGGGAAAGAGATAATATATAAATATTTTGGAATTTTAGAGAACATGTTTGAAAATGGACAGATATGAAAAATAATTGGCATGTTAGATCCAGATACCAACTCCTTCTTCATTCACTACTGCATTATGAGCACCTTGCAGCATCTTGAGACAAAGGGTGGAGTGAGTGTGTTAGAGATTTTTTAAGGAGAACTCTGAGGAGGAATGAATATTGATAAAAACAAAATCTGTTCCTGTCCTCAAGAAACTTAGAATACAAAAAGATGGGTGTGTGACTTCCAGATGTGGTACTCTAACAGTTACTATAATCCACAGTAGTACAGCAATAAAAATGCACATGAGTTCAAGAAATGTCTATTTTGATGATGCATACATAGGTTGGAGATTTGGAGCTCACAGATACTTGATTTTTTTGCTCTATTGCATTATAACTCTATGATTTAAAAAATACTTTAACTTCTATAAATCTTAGCTATGGAACATAGGCAGTAATTCCTGTTACTTAGTAAGCTCACATAGGTAAATTTCATTACAGAAACACTGGCACAAAAAAGGCCCAGAAAAAATATAGCCATGGCTTATTATAATAGTAGCACCAGCACCACCATTGTAATTCTTGTTACTATCAATAGTAACATTTCTCAGGTTACCAAGTTCTTCTAAGTACTTTTCCATGCCCTGCTTAGTAAGAAGAATGAAAACAATTCTATTAAAAATTAAACTTTTTAAAATATTTTTGTTTTAAGCCTGCTAGTTAGGACTGTAAATTGATACTGTACTTCAAATTTAGAAAACCATCTAAATGGGTATATTTTTAAATCAGAATTTGCATTTATAGAAATTAGTCCTTAGAGATGATCATTCCTAAACATAAAAAGTCAATAGTGTGTAATAACTTAGAACAGGGACTTTGGTCTCAGTCAGCTCAAGGGTTAAATCACACACTTAGAGCTGGGCTATCATCATCGAGTTATAGAATATCTCTCAGTCTCGGTCATTTCTTTTTTAAAATGGGAACAATAATATCTGCATGATGGTACTATCAGCAGGAGTTAATGAAATTATTAGAAAAAAGAATAGTGTATAAACTTTAATACTTGCTCTAAGTATTATTTTCATTAGGTAGGACAATATTCATTCATAAATTACTTATGATCATAAAAAAATTTAAAACTTATTTAAATATCCCACCATAAAGAAAATAAACAGTGTTGTATATCATTATTGATATTTAAAATGTAGAAAATATTTTATTTAACATAAAAATATTTTATTTAACATAGAATGATAAAATGCCATGAAATATATGATCATTCTTATTTTTACATAAAACTTCAAAACACTTTATAGGGCTAAGAGTGTAGCTCAGTGATAGACTAACATGTGAAAAAACCCAGGTTCAATCCCAGGAGAGAAAAAAGACAGAATGAGTGTAAATACTTAAGAGTGGCCATTTCTCTTTAGTGGAATTATACATGATTTTTTAGTCTTACTTTCTCGGTACTGTAAAATTTTATAAGAAAAAAATATTTACTTTTATAATGAAGAAATTTTTAAATTATAAAAATGAAAGAAAAGAAAAGCATTTGCTTGTCTACAATCTTGTAATTGTTTTTTTAATTGCTTCATATAGCATTTTATTATAAATAGTGCAAAAGTTACCAGAAGTCCAGGTCAAATCTTTAAAATAATTCAGAATTCTCAATTAGTCCAACTCAAATTCATTACATTTATAAAGAATATCTCTCTGAATTCTATTTGGCCCCCTGTTAGTGATTCTACAGTTAAAGAATCCGGTGCAATATTAATAAGAATAAGGTAGAAAAACCTCCCGAGCAGAAATAAAAGTGTTTTGACACTATAAAGTGGATTGGCCATATAAAATCATATAGCTATGTAGATTACAATGCTATTTAAGACACAGGAATACTGTCTTTTCTACTAACTGCAAAAATATGATAGAATTTGAGAGAATAAAGCAATAGCTTTTATTATTTCTGAGACAGAGAACAAGAGCGAAAAAAATAAGGAAAACTTATCCAAAATCTCAACCAGGATTACAACATATAAGAGCTTATTTTTTTAATCCATGTAAAATGCACACTGGATTTATAAGAATAGTTTAAACACAAATATAGAATTCTGCAAACAAAGAGAAGGGAGATAAAGAATATTCTATTCAGAACAGGTCCTTATAATCTAATCTGCCATAAGCAGTCACACATCAGAGTTATGAATTCACTCTCACCCACTGTCATAGTAAGGCAGAGAAACAAACAATAACTGAAGCTCTTCTCCAAAGAAAACATCAGACAGAGATAAATATGAAAATAACTAATTTGGGAGATGTTTTCACAACAACTTGGAAGTTTACTTCGTGAGTTTGTTGCTATCTATCATTTACCATAAAATCTTCCTAAGGAAATAATTTAAGAATTTAAAAATCAACAATAGTAAAAGAAAAACAAACCCAACTAAAAAACTGTAGCACACTATAGGCAACAAGAAAGTCAAATTTATAAATTCCTATTTATTCACTCATTCTTATTCTTGTACTACCTCCATCTATTAACCTCTTTTCATTACATGTATCAATAGTGGATGGCCTAACAACAGAACCTTCATGAGATTCTGGTCATGTATTCTGAACAAGAGGCAAAAAATTCCACTTCTCTATTTCTTCTAGAACTTTTATACTTGGTGACATATGGCCCAGATACATTGCCTTCCCATGACAAAGTTAGTTGATTAAGGATCACAGTGGAGTTAAAGATTTGCTCAGAAGCATCCTCAACCTAAAAGAGCACTACAGCAAACAGATGTTGTGCTCATGATTCCCACAAGAGAACCATAGAGGAGGGAGAGTGAGGAGAGCAGCCAAAGCCCTGAACTGAGAAGATATCTTCTGGTTGGAATTCTACATATTGCACTGTCAAGTCATATCATTTTTTTCCCAGTGAAAACAAGTATGTCTGATCAGTGTTTAGGTGGGTGTAGCCATAGGGATCTCTTCTATTTCTAAAATTGCACTTCTCTCTTTTGCTCATGGCAATCAACAGGGCCAAAGAATTCTGGGTTTTATTAGAGTTGTAAGGAATCTTGTAAATCACATAGTCATAAATCATATTTAAAGATGATAAAAGAATGAATGATGTGTCCACATCTATAGAGTCAGAGCTAGAAGATGACCAGATATAAACTTTCTATATTGTTTTTAACATTTAACAATATTTCTCTTATCCCAGCAATTGGATTCAAAGTTCTTTGAGGTTAGGTTATAAAAAAATACTTTTAGACAACTTAAGCTAGTAGAAGAATATTATTCAAAAACTGGGCAATCAATAAATCATTCTATTAAAGGTTGAATAAAAGAATAAATTTCTTTCTCTACATAGCTAAATAGCACCTTGTCTATGTATTGTATAATATATTCTAAAAGGACAGAATTAATAAAAATAAAGCAAGAAATTCTGAAGTTTAAGATAAGGTTTTATAGGAAAAAAGAACCACTATAATATCAAATGTCATTTTTATCCTCAAGTCAGGCATATAGTAGAGGAAATACTAACTATGTATTCACAATTTTCAGTGGCCCTTACTCTTTATCAAATATAGAAATAGTTATTCAAAACTAAAATTCCTCTTATATGCATAGGTACACACACACACACACACACACACACACACACACACAC